GGGACAAAAGCGTTAGGAGGTACATATCTGTGCCCGAAGGTATGAATTTATTGGTCGATGGACGAAAACCAGAAAGAACGAATGAGTAGCTTCTATGATTTTGCGGAGGAACAGAGAGTGAAGAGATAAAGGAGTGGAGGAAAGGATTTAATGTTCAGGAAGGTGGATAGCTGCTGTCTACGGGATCAGGTGAAAGGAAGTCAGATGGATAGGTCTCGTTGGCAGGCGAGTGAAGCGACAGTACAAGGGTGTGGGATTTCAAAGATGTTTCTAGATAAATGGAGGAATGCTGTCTAATTTTGGATAAATACAATATTGGGGGTGGGGTGAAAACGTAGTAGAACTGTTAAAAGAATAATTAAAAGAATGACAGAATGAGTACTTCGATGGGTTGAAAAACAAGGAAGTTGATTAACGAAGACTATGAATAACCCTGGGTGAGGGCGAAAAGAGTGAAGACAGCCTTCTAGCATTTATTTTGATGAATGGATGGTTAGACGGATCGATAGGCGGATGTAGTACTTACAGAATAGACAGACTTATGTCAAAGTGACAGATAGAAAGAATAAAAGATTGCGTTGATCCCGTTTACTCAGGTTCCGTAAATGCACGGAGAAAAGTACTTGATAAACAGGCGATGTTGACAGATAAACTTAATTCAACAGACTGAGATATAAGCTTACAAAAAAGTCGAGGTGAAGATGGTTTGATCCAAGCTAGCACTGTCCTCGTTGTGCTTGACTTTCCCAAAATGTGAGTTTTAAGTATTGTTCTCAAATCGTGAGGCCCCATGGGGATGGTACAGTTTGGCCTCACACATAGCCCTTTTACAAAGTCATTCTTGGGCGTAGATTACAGAAAGCGCAAAGGCAAAAAAAGGGTAATGATAAATAAATGAATAAAGTATGTAACTATTACAGCAAAGATAACATATACAGCAAACTGTGTTTTCTTACGGAAAGCAACCGAGGTGGAGAAAAATCTCTTGTTTTTAGAGACGTTGGCATTAACTCCACCAAAAAAGCTGTCAGTAATCCGTATGCCATAAAACCAGCAGTAACAACAATCCAGTTATTCCAAAAGGAGACATTCGATGGGTTGGTGGCTCGTTACAGTGATTTAAATAAACTCTGCTTAGCAAACTTGTGTTTCCGGAAGATATTCAAAATACTAAACTGAGAAGCAGTGTGATTAGTTGGTAGTAAGCCATAACTGCCTTGTATTTTTTTTAATGAACTGGAGACTAGATAAATGTCCATTAGTTATTCCGAACCCCATGCTCAATAATTGTCTGGTATTCTTTCAGTATATTGAATAAATGTTTCGTATTTTTTTCAGTGTTTTGTAAGAATAACTGTCAAGTAGTTATTCAGTACAATATGCGGAATAATTGTCAAGTATTCATTCTGCATCGCCGTAAACTAACAAAACGTCTTTAAAAAAATTTTGGCGGCATTTTTTTTGTTTTGCTTAATCGGGAACCTGACCAGTTACCCTACTTAGGTGGAAAAAAATCAAAGTGAAATTGTAACTAGCTTTTGAATGCATTAGAATCTTAAAAAAGCCGTTTTGTCAGCTTACGGCAGAATAGTTCATTTGTTCAGTACAATAAATGCGGAATAATTGGTGACTCACGTTCCAAAGATGTACATGACCAGCAGGTTGCCCAGGGAGCCGAAGATGCTGACGAAAGTGATGAAGATCCCCATGGCGTAGTGCCAGCCAGGAGCGATAAGCCCGTACTGGTACCAATGCGGGTGAATGAACAAGTCATACGTGTCGTACACATGGGTCGTGACGTTGTGCTCATACCCTGCTGGTGTAGTGCCCAGATCTGTCCCGTCTGTCGTTATCATCTCTGTCGACGTCATGATGGCTCGGGTGTGATGTCGAGAGAGACCGTGGCCGATGATTGAGGAAGATTACCTGGACTTAGTTGAAACAAAATAAAAAACAAAAGTAAGACAAAGGTATATATAAACTTTAGTTTAAATCTGAGCTTAAGTCCGGCATGGATTTCATGATGCTTATAAAGGATATTAAGGTGTTGACTCTGTAGATAGAGAGGAAAACAAAGAAATGGGGAGGACAGAAAGGGCAGACGATATGTCAAAGTCGTATCTGAAAAAATAAACCTGGGCAAATGTTTTTATACTTTGCTCTGATTTTAAAAAAGGAGGGGGGAGGAGGTGTAGCACTATTGTATTGTAAGCAAACAAGGACAATCCCGTGTTTACGATTTAGCGAAACAATTACGACTCCAAAAAAAAGAATCCTTGTTGGGAAACAACTAAAAAAGCAGACCAACACAATTCTTCTTCCAAACACACGTGTAAAAACATAGAAATACAGTGGGTCGTGGACGTCTTTGACGGAGAGGAACGTTATAGATTAGATTGGGGGGGGGGGATCTTTATGTACAGTTGTACTTGATTTGATATTGAGCAAAAGAAATAAAAGAAGTCATGATGTTCCAGACGACTTACGAGACTCATTTATAAGTTTAGGTAAGCATGACTCTAGGCTGAAGGTCAGAGACCATGCCCCCTCCCTCCCTCCCCCTCTCTCTCTCTTTCTCTCGGTCTCTTTCTCTCGCTCTGTCTGTCTGTCTGTCTGTCTGTCTGTCTGTCTGTCTGTCTGTCTGTCTGTCTGTCTGTCTGTCTCTCTCTCCCCCTCTCTCTCTCTCTCTCTCTCTCTCTCTCTCTCTCTCTCTCTCTCTCTCTCTCTCTCTCTCTCTCTCTCCCCCCCCCCTTTCTAGGCCACCAGGAAAATAAAACCCCTCCCTTGGAGTCTGGAAGTATATCTCCTTTTAGTAATGTTCTTAAAGCTGCCTGAAAGACTTCTACCCGAAAACGTCTCTATTTACCTCCACCACCCTTTCCCTCCCCCTCCCCCTGGGAAGAAACAAGCTACAGTGTGTCAGGAAAGACAGTTGAAACCTCTGTCTATTAGGTAGTATGTAGGCTATAGCTCTATACTACAGCCTCATAACTGGCTTCCCAAATTGAGATACATAATTTTATTGTTACTTTACGTCAGCAGCACAAAGATATCTTAATGGTAGAATGGCGAGTGATAAGAGGTACTTGAGAATATTTTTTTGAATGCCGGTGGATAATGCACAAACTGCATTTTTTTTACAGCTCAATTGATACAAGTTAGATCAGTCAGGGGTAGCTTGCTGTAGCCCCTTCTTTTAGGGCGAACCTGGTCTGAGTAGGATACAACATTCCAACAGGAAGATGGAGGTACATTTTGTGTACTCGTTAAAATAAAATAACCACCCCAATCGGAGAATCGAACTTACGTCGTCTGTGTGCAAGGGCGAAGGACTTAACCATTACCACACAGACACCTGTTGGGAAAATGCGTAGTTGTCGCTAGAAAACAAAGCTTCGTGAAAATGCTTTACGTTTTAAAGTTTGCGGCCATTCTGTCAACACATATTATTTTTTATTAATTTTCGCCAGGCCAGAGAAAAGCTATCCTGTGTGTAGTCTATTTATACTAAAATAAATTCTGTTAGAATGTTGCTTCCCTCTCAGCCAGGGTTGACCTTAACAGGTACGGTCGCATGCGGCCTCCTAAATGATTTAAAATTGTGTCGATGGGGGCTTAAAACTTCTACAACTGAAACCAAAAGTAAAAAAAACAGCTCCTAGACATACCCACCCACTCCCTCCTCAGCATACTACTACTACTACTACTACTACTACTACTACTACTACTACTACTACTACTACTACTACTACTACTACTACTACTACTACTACTACTACT